TGACGGCTTCAGATTGCAGAACCGATGCCCCCAAGGGACCCTCAGACCCCCCCCAAGAAGCACCCAAGAGGTGCCTCCAACAGCCAGTTGACGAAGCATGCGGAACACCCCAGAAGCTCCTCAGATGCCGTCGCGCGCCTGTGCTTCATAGCGACGTCCAAGATCGTCCAGCGCCCCCCGGCCTGGTGTGGAACCTGAGCGCGCGCGAAGCGCGCGCGATGGTTCTAGTATATATATATATATAGATAGAAGCAGTGGGACATATTATTCTTAAATCCACAATGCCGGGAGGCTCGCATACTTGGGGCGACGAAGGGACGGAGCCAACGGGGCCATTTTTGGGGGAACCCTAGCAATGGACCAATCAGCGTGCTCACTGCCCCCTTCGCCTACCTCTGGAAGGCTGCCGCGAGACAGAGACACTGCCTTTGGGAGGCTCGCACAAGACAGAAACGCTACCTCCATCCTCCCACTCACAGTCTAAGCTCCGCATCCCCTTCAGAAGCGCCACTCTCATGAGCTGCCTGCGATGGCAGCTGAAAACCACCTGAGTAAGTCTGCTTGCGCCTCGTCTTTCGGCACCCGAGGAGGCAACTCTGGAGGTGGACCAGTCAAGTTCGAACTCTGGATCGGCAGCCTACGCTGCTGAGCCGCTCGCTCCCGTTTCCGACGCAACGCCTCAGCCCTGTTCGCCGCAAAACGAGTTCTCACGACGTCAGGCGTAGGGAGAGGAGGCGGCGGAGACGGAAGGGGAGGGAACGGTGGGGAAACCGGGAAATCGACCAAATCAATGGGCAAACGGGTCCTCGGGAGATGCCCTGTGCAACAACGGACAAGGCTCAACAGAAAAGGAAATCGCCACGGAATGGTTGTCTAGGTCATCAGCCTGCTGCACTCCCGAGCTCTGATTTGGTACCAGCCTGTAAACGAAGGATCCGCTCAATGCTTGACAGCAACATCTGGGCCCGTGGGAGGAACCTCGGCAAATATGGAGGCAGTAGAAACAAACAACTTGTGAAACTGCCCTGTGTGTTCCTGATCATGGTCTTCACACAACTCTACTGAAGGAAGCACAGCATCCAACATGGCCTGCGCCAGTTCAGAACACAACGAAGTCGGGTAGACGTTCTTGTGTGGCGTTCTAGACGGAGCCATCCGCTTGCTTGCCTGGCAAGGTCTAATGGGCTCCTCGACCGTGGCTACACTTGCCATTCCCTGGGGTGGAGGGGACGAGAAAAAGGCTAGAGAGGGCATTCTGACGGCCAATCTTCCTGTAGGCGCTCTGCCGTCTTGGCCAAACTCACAAGTTTCGAATTCTGCCAGGGAGCAACAAGGAGCTGCAATAAGGGCCTTAGTGGTATGGAAGGACCAGGACGGGACTGCACGGGGCTCCCACGTTGGAGCCGCGGGGTCCTCAACCCATCCTGATCCACCAAACGTCGCCAACACACAGCAACTCCACACTATGCATATCTAAAGCATTGGCTACCTGCACCTGTATACGCTGCCTGGGTTGTGAAGCCGCCAGCCCGCAAGGGGCAGTCCAGGACCGAATTGGAGGGAGGCCTGTCTTTCCAACGAGCCGCCGAGACTGTTTCGCACGGCCCCCCCTCCTATCAGAGCAACTCCGCCAGCCGCAATATGGCCAGACTATAGATCAACTGCTGACTGCTTACTAAGGTCACCAACCCCTGAGCCAATTAGAATGTCGATAGCTAGCACACGAATGTCAAAACTAGGCAATTCAATTTCCAATGACGTCTCTACTGCACATTGAATATCTGCTGTGCGGCGCTGGCCGCAAACAAAAAACAGCAATGACAGCCGTCCGGCGATGCAGTCTGCGTGGAATCACATTAGCTAAGATTCCAGAGTATTCGTTCCTATCGTACGGCCAACCTAAAACACACACCATTTACCGAGCCAGGGGCACTGGTTTCAGTAGACAGTTGGTCCAAAAACATACGAGACCATCCGGTCACATCTTGCAACACATTCTGCAAGCACACCAAAGCTTGGCCACGGGTGTATACTGTCTTGTATGTTCTAGCAGCAGGATGGATCGGCCCCCCGGGTTTAAAGTTCGCCTGGAAACCCACGCAAAACGCATCGGATTCTGACCAAATGTCCATCCTACTTGTGAACGCATAGTATCCTTACCAAACCAGCATCGCCCCCCCCGCCATCCTCTGCAAAAAAAATGTTGCGCGCACATTCGTTTATCAATGATCATAAGTTCCCAAAAATCCCTTGCACAAAATGGGACTAATTGAGCACGCGCGCGTCGTCACGCGCGCATGCCGAAATCATTCAAAACAAATCGCTTTCGGAAGGATTCCCAAATCGAGTTCCCAAACGAAAACGAAGGATTCCGCAACGCTGTTTTTTAATACAAAAACAACTAACACGCGCGCCCCTGCGAAATCCTCAGGGAATTGTTGTTTTGTTCAGCATTTTCAAAAATATTACCAGACGGGCTTCGCGCGCGCGAATGTCGAAATCGTTCGAACGGCCTTGCGCGCGTGCCATCGCGAGAATCCGCTGCAACAAACGGAGCGAAGTGCACGCGCGCGCGCATCGTCGCGCGCGCATGCCGAATTCCTGCAAAAAACATCGTTTTCGGTAGGCCGTCACAATCGAGCGTCCAAAAGACATGCAAAAACACATTGTTTCGTAACACGGAGTTTCAACAAAAACGTGCGCGCGCGTTCTTGCGTCGTTATCGTCATCGTAGTCGCCGTCCTCCCTCCTCCCTCGTCGTCGTCGCCGTCGTCGTCCTCTGTCTTTCCTCGTCGTCGTCGTTTTCTTTGGCGTCGACGTCGTTTCCGTCGTCGTTGTCGCCGTGGTCGTCCTTTCTCCTCCCTCGTCGTCGTCGTCGTCCGTCGTCGGCGTCTCGTCGTCATCCCTCCTATTTCGTCGCCAACGTCGTCGTCGTCGTCGTCGCCATCGTCATCGTGTTCCCTACTCCCTCGTCGTTGTCGTCGTCGGCGTCGCCGTCCTCCCTTCTTCGTCGTTCGCGTCGTCGCCGTCCTCCCTCCTCCCTCGTCGTTGTCGTCGTTGTCGCCGTGGTCGTCCTTTCTCCCTCGTCGTTGTCGCCTTCGTAGGCGACGTCGTCGTCGTCGTCGTCGTCGTCGTTGTCGGCGTCGACGTCGTCGTCGTCGTCGTCCTCATCGTCGTCGTCGGCGTCGCCGTCGTCGTCGTCGTCGTCGTCGTCGTCGTCGGCGTAGGCGTCGTCGTCGTCGTCGTCGGTGTCGCCGTCGGCGTCGCCGTCGTCGTTGTCGCCGTCGTCGGGGTAGTCGGAGACGTCGTCGGTGTCGTCGTAGTCGTCGTCGGCGTCGTCTTTGCAGTCGCTGTCGTCGTCGACGTCGCTGTTGTTGCCAAGTGCCATTTGGTACCCACTGTCACGTTCTTAAGAAGTCTTTCGACCAAGTTGCGGGTGGGAGGGTGGGATGTTTGCACGAGCAGTGGAGAGGAAAGTTTCAAGACAGTCAAAGTGAATTGCACCACTTAGACTGCACCACCTAAACTGCCCACATCAGGTGCACCACGTAGAATACATTACGGCGGTTCGACCACCTAGATTGCACCGCACAGGTCTATCGCACAACATACATATATATATAGAATAGGAGACAGCAGCGTGGAATGGGGCTTCCCCGCTGCAGTGTCCCGGCGAAGAACCGCGGGCAACATTCCTTCTTTCTCCTCCTCGTCATCTTTTAGGCCCTCGCTCCTCCTATCGTGCCATTGGGGTGTCTCCTCCTCCGGGACCTGCTGCAATTCTTGGAAACACGGCCGCCCTTGCATCTTCTCTTCGTCGTCGTCGTTCTCCTCCTCTTCCTCCTCCTCCTCCTCTTCTTGGCCGTCCTGCCAATCTTCTCTTCCCACTCCCCCTTTTCCTCTTCCTCTCCCTCCTCCTCCTCCACTTCCTCTTCCTGCTTCTGCACGAGAGGGTTGATGTGGCGGTTGCGTTTGCAGCTGCGCCCGCGGGCGGATTGAAATGTAACGCCTCATTGCGGTTGTGGTTGCGCCCGCGGGCGGTATGAACTGTGTCGCCAGGTTGCGGTGGGGCTTGCGGTTGCGCCCGCAGGCAGGTCGGAATGTGTCGCCGGGTTGCGATTGCCGTTGCGCCTGCGGGCGGGTTGAATTGTGCCGCCTGGTTGCGGTTGTTGGTGCGGTTTCGCCCGCGAGCGGATTGAAATGTGTCGCTTGGTTGGGGTTGCGGTTGCGGCTGCGCCCGCGGGCGGGCTGAAAATGCGTCGTTTGGTTGCGGTTGCGGTTGCCCCGCGGGCGGGTTGACATTTGTCGCTTGGTTGCGGTTGCGGTTGCGCCCGCGCGCACGGGCTGATTAAAATGCGTCGCCTGGTTGCGGTTGCGGTTGCGCTCGCAGGCGGGTTGTAATGTGTCGCCAGGTTGCGGCTGCATTTGCGCCCGCTGGCGGGTTGAAATGTGTCGCTTGGTTGCAGTTGCGGTTGCGGCTCCGCCCGCATGGTGGCTGAAATGTGTCGCTCGTGCCAGTTGAATTGTGTCGCCTGGTTGTTGTTGGGCTTGCGGTTGCGCTCGCGGGCGGGTCGGGATGTGTCGCCTGCTTGCGGTTGTGGTGTCGCTTGATTGCGGTCGCGGTTGCGCCCGCGGGCGGGTTGACATGTGTCACCTGGCCTTGGCTGCTGTGGCGGTTGCGGTTGCGCCCGCAGGCGGGTTGGAATGTGTCGCTTGCTTGCGGTTGCGGTTGCGGTTGCGCCCGCGGGCGGGTTGAAGTGCGTCGCCCGGTTGCGGTTGCGCCCGCGGGCGGGCTCAAGGTTCCGGAACGCTCTGAGAAGGCCGCGGCGCCCGAGGCATTTTCCAGAGCCGCCGGAAGTCAGAGGTCTTCGACCTATCTTCGCCCGATGCTGCCCTAGCCCTGCCTTCGTCTGGAGCAACCCACCCCTCCTGCCCTCCGCCCTGCCGCCCCCCTTCGCCCCTGAGTGCGCCGCGAGAGCCAGCGCCCCGCACTTGCCGAGGCCCGGCGCGGTGGAGAAGCGCGGTGCGCCACGCCCCCCCGCGTCCGCTGCCAGAGCCCGCCCGCTCCTCGGGTGTTGCCAGAAGCGCCCTTGGCCTATGGTGCCCCCCACGGCCTCCAGGGCACCCCCCTCAGGAGCGAGGGAAGGACGTACACGTGCACGTGAATCCACGTTGGTTTCGAGAGCACGCAGTGCGCAATCGTTCGTATCACGCGGCTGGGCTCGCAGACTTGGGGGCCGTGTTCATGTACGTAGTTGAGCGCGTACGTCCTTTTGTGAGCCCCCTACCGTCGCGAGGCCAAGAGGGGCCCAGTGGCTCCAAAATGGAGGGAAAAGCTGGGGGCACCTTGGGCCAGGGGCACCTTGTCGAACAACCCCGGACTCCAATGACGAGGACGAGGCCCTCGTCCTAGGATGGGGACGAGGCCCCTCGTCCTGGTCCTCGTCCTCGTCCTTTCCCACTTTTGTCACAAGCGGGACAAGGACGAGCACGAGGACAGCGGTCAGAGGAGGAGAAGTTACCGATACGTCGATACCGCTGCTCTTGCTTCGTTTTCGCCTTTTTGGGCATCCTGGGAGGCCCTTGTCGCCACTGCTGGCTCGAGATTCTGGTCAGAACTCACCCTGGGAGAGTCCAGTGAGTAGAGCGGCATCGGTATCTCTCGGTTTCACCATCGGACGACGGCGACCGACGAGATGAGAGCGAGGCTGCATGCTTCAAGGCGAGCCGGATTTGCGAACGTCCGATCGCAGGCGGCATAGCAATAGTAGGAAGCCGGGGCCGACTGGGAGAGAAGGATGACGATGAGGATGGGCACGGAGACGATGATGATGATGGCGAGGAGGAGGAGGAGGAGGAGGAGGAGGAGGAGGAGGAGGAGGAGGAGGAGGAGGAGGAGGAGGGGGAGGAGGAGGAGGAGGCGCTGGGCCCTGGCGGTCGAAGGCCGCCAAAGGGCCGCCGAGGGGCCGCCGAGAGGCCGCCGAGGCCGCCGACGGCCCACCGAGGGCCGCCGCAGGGCCGCCGAGGGGCCGCCGCGGGGGGCCGCCGCGGGAGGCCGCCGCGGGAGGCCGCCGAGGGGCCGCCGAGAGGAGCCCTCAGGGGGGTCGGCACCGTGTCACCGATCCCCATGCCCATTGGTCAGGAGGGGAAAAAACACACAGACACAATTCATCGTCGATTCCCAGGAAAATATGGGAAAATATGGGAAGTGGGGAGGAGACAGAAACCCAGAAAATATGGGAAAATATGGGGAATAGTTTTACTTGTGTGTGTAATTATTTGTGTGTCCCAGGGCCCCTTCGATTGGGCCGTGGTGCCGTGAACCCGCGCAGTAAGGCCGAGCCACTGTCCAAGGTCACGCCTGCGGCCCCTCCTTCCCCGTCGTCGGAAACTGGAGCATGTACATTGCCAGTGGCGGGCCGTTTTTCAATCCCACGGCTTCTGGAGGGTCGGGGGCGACGCTGGGGTGGTGTGGTGTAGACTTGTTTCCCCGATGTCCCGGGGAAACAACGAAGAATGTATACACCAGGGTCCCGTATACACCAGGATCCGCTCTCCAGTGCAAATTTCAGTGCAGGGCTGGAACACGCGGTGGTGCATAGAGTTCGATTCCCTACATCGGCTTATCGGCCTTCGCTTCCCCAGCCTTCCCCGTCCACGGCTACTCCGGATTCCATAATAAAGTCGGGGGGGGTCACATTTGGGGGGGGGTCTGATTTGAGCTGTCTTGGAGGGTTCGGAGGGGTCTGGGCAAAGGGCCGCCCTTTCATGGATGGTCTGGGAGGGTCTTTGTCGTGATCTCACGGGTTTCCGATGTATCTTGTGGGCCGCCGCCGTTCTGGTTGCTCAAGTCTTGAGGGATGTGGGAGAGGCTCACGAACCACGCCGTCACAGGGGTGGTCTCCTATCTCACGAGGTGCCCGCAGGTGCCATCTTGTCCCGCCTGTCCTGTGTGTTCCCTGGCGTGCGGGTCGCCAGCTCCTTGCCCAGGGTGCTCGCTGAAGTGCCCAGCGATCCCGCCGTGCGCGGAGGTCGCCCCGGCGGTGTGCCCCTCGCCGCCGCCCTGCCCGACGCCGGCGTGCCCGGCGTGTGGGGCCTGCCCCGCACCAGAGGCCGCGCCCGCGCCCTCGGGGCCGGAGGCGGCGGCGCCCTCGGCGGCGGCCGAGCTGGCGAGTGACGTCGCCACCGACCTGCGCTCCCTGGCCGCGGGCCCGGTGGGCGGCGCGCTGGGCTTCCTGCTCGCCGCCGCGTGCGTCGGCTGCTGCTGTGTCGTGGTGCGGAGGGACGCTCGCCCGCGTGTTCGGCATCCTGCTGTCTGTACCAGTGATGGCGGCGGTGGCGACGAGTCGCTGGGTGTACGTCTTCTACGCAGGCGAGGTGGTGTGGCACCAGCAATTGAATCTGGGGCGGGTGGCATTGTCCGAGGCTGACCACGTCATCTACACGGCGGATGGCGATCTCTACATCGTCGCGTTGGCCAACGATGCTGATGTGCAGGCGGCGCGGTTCGGTGCCTTCAACCCGCCGCCTCCAGGGATCGCGGGCAACCAGGTGTATGGGTTCAGAGCCGAGCCGACGGATGCGGAGCTGGCCCAGCTCACCCTGGAGGCGGAGCAGATCGCCACCGCCGAGTGCCGCACCAGAGCGGCCGCCATCGGCAACCTCGGCCTGCTCACCAACCTGCGGCCACTGGTCGCGCCTGGGGGAGGAGGAGTGGTGGCCCCCATCGCGCCCGCGGGCCCTGCGCTGGGCTTGCTGCGCGGCGCTGCCGCGCTCCCCGCTGGTGCGCCGGGAGGTGACCCCGCTGGGGTGTGGAGGGCCGTCGCCTGCGAGGGCGGATATCGGATTGGCGATGAGGTGCCCGGGCACGTTCCCACGGCAGCTCGAGCCCTGGATCGGGACATCCATGTGCTGCCAGACGGCCAGGGCCTGTTCGTGGAGCTGGTTCCGCCAGCCGCCCTCGAGACCTTCTTGCGGAAGGCTGTAGATGCGGACGCCAGGATCTTGCCCATTATTCGAGATGCGCAGGGTCGCCGCGACGTCCCATGGCGCAAGATGGTGGAGATGACCCGCCAGGAGGACTTCGGCTCGGACTGGACGCTGCCAGGCCCGAGGACGGCGGCATGGTGCATGAGCTACCTTCAGCGGGAGGGCCTCGGCATAGAGGGCCATCACGAGCACTTCAGGCAGATCTGCAAACTCGCCGCCACGGATTGGGGAGTTCAGGAACACTACCAGCTGTGCCAGCAGATCAAGGCGGCAACCTGCCAGGACCTCCTAGACGGGACGAACTTGATTAGCATTGAGATGAAGTTTAGGAGGCTCCAGACCATCGAGTTCGCCCACTGGGACAAGGCCAAAGACGCCGAGAGCAAGGGCGTTGGGGGCAAGATGAGTATCTCCAGAGTTGATCGAGCATGTCCGCGGTGACGTTGAGAAGGAAGCGAAGCTACACAAGAGTCTGCGCCTGGCCCGCGAGGAGCGGGAGTCCAGGCGCAAAAATGGCTGAGCATCAGGGCCGTGCTGGCTTCGGAGGGGGGGGCAGCACGAGTACTACACCCCTCCGCATCGGCAACCCGAGTGGGCCCTTCTTCCCTCAGGACGTCCACGACATCGGCAGGCGTCGGCCCCGGGACATCTTGCCACTGCCCTACCCCTCGTTCAAAGAGCCGCTGGATAAGGCTTCGGTCAAGGAGCTCGCCAGAGGTACGAGGCAAAGGATTGGGCGAAGGCTGGGTGTCTGCAACGATGTCTATGGATGCGTGGACGCTCTTCATTGGCTTCATGACCCGTCCCTCCGTTGTGGTCGTGACCGTTCTGCACGATACGTTGGCCCGTCACTCGCCCAGAGCCAGTGCTTGGCCCACATCTCCGAGTCGGTGCGCAACCTTGGTCCGCCGCCGTCGACTCTCTCTCCCGCAGAAGCGCTGGTGCAGCTTCGCGTGGCCGGGGGTGCCTACAATGTCGAGCAGTCGCCCCTCGGGAGCTACGACCCTGCGCTCCTCTCCTTGCCTGGCGTCAGTACCGCCCCTGTGCCGCTGGCCGACGTGCGGGGGGAGGGCGGGCAAGCCAAGGTCGAACAGTTCGTTCTGCAGAGCTTGATGGATCCGAGCGAGGCCGAAGCCGGGTTGAGGCAGAGCTTCATACCTGTTCCTTACTCTCACCCTCGTCTACGTGATCAGCGGCGCTGGTCCAGTTTTGTTCAGTTGCTGTATGAGCGGCACCTAGTCGGCTTCAGCTTGGAGGACGGCGTTCGGGCCGAGATTTTCTTTGTGAAAAAAATGGGAGGCCGCCTTCGCACGGTGGCGGACTGCCGCCGCTGGAACGAGGTGTTCACCGAGCCCCCGGGCGCGCGGCTCGCGACGGGCGACGCCTTCGGTATGCTGGAGATGGCGGCGGACGACTCTCTCCTGACAGCGGAGGGTGCCGACCTGAAGGACGCCTTCTACCACCTTGAGCTGCCCGAGCAGCTCCGTCCGCGTTTCAGCTTGCGACCTGTGCGCGCTGGCGCCCTGGGCATCAAGGAGGTCGGCGGGGTCGCTGTCGGGGCCTCCACCAAGCTCTACCCGCGCCTCAGGGTCGTGCCCATGGGCTGGTCCTGGGCCATGTGGTGGTGTCAGTCGGTGATGGAGCGAGTGGCAGAAGCAGCAGGCTGCGGTGACGAATCACGACTACGAGATGGCAGACCTGCTCCCTCTTTGGACCCATCGTATCACCTTGAGTACGTCGACAACTTCGTGAGCATCGGCTACGACGCGGAGGCGGTTCGGTCCGCTGTGACTCGTGTCATGACGGAGCTCAAGCGCCGAGGTCTGGTGGTGACCAGGGAGGAGCACCTCGGTGACAGCGAGGGCGAGTTTGCGGTGCTGGGTTGGCCCATCATTGCGGCTGGCCGTCTCTCGGCGTCTGCTTCGAGATTGTGGAGGGCGCGGCTAGCGGTGCGTGGTCTTCTGCGGCGCGGCCGCGCCAGTGGTCGCGATCTCGAGCGCGTGCTGGCCACATCATCTTCGTCACTCTCGCTCGGCGTGAGGGCTTGAGCATCTTCGAGGCGTGTTTCCGCTTCGTCCAGAAGTGCTACCGCCAGCAGGTGCCGCTCTGGTCTCAGGTCAGGCAGGTGCGCATGGCCTGGGATGGCGTCGCCCCTGTGCTATGGCGCGATCTTCGTGCTCAGTGGTCGTGTTCCGTCGGCTGCGTAGACGCCCCCCCTTGGGGGTTGGGCGCCTGCGAGGCTGATTGGGATGTCGGCGCTGTTCGGGAGTCTGGTCGCCATAGCGAGCGGTGGCGCTATGGCAGGGCTGAGCGCGCGCCTCCTCGTCGCCGCGCCCTCGCCGCTGAATGTGCCGCCGACGGGGTCGCAGCCTGTGACCTAGGGATCGTAGCGGCCCAGCTCGATCCTGGCTGTCCGGCGGAGGACAGCCAGCCCGTCGGCCCGCCTGTGGAGCGCGACCTGCTCGCTCTCCCCGAGGTCTCGAGGAAATACCTGGACAAGTCGTTGTGGCGTGTCACGGGACGTCGCAAGTGGGATCGCCTTGAGGGGATGCCTGTTCTCGAAGCTCGGGCGGTCCTGTGCCATGTTCGGCATGCTTTACGGGCCGTTCGGAACCATGGGAAGAGGATGCTTGTCCTGGGAGATTCTCCTGCGTTTGTCTCGGCGGCCTCTCGGACGCGGGCCCACAGCCACGCCATGTTGGGGATCATGCGCCGCATTGGGGCTCTGTCTCTTGCGTCTGGAGCTCCATTTGTATTCGGTGGATACCGTCCGAGTATAACGTCGCGGATGGCCCCTCTAGAGGCCGAGGAGAACCCAGTCTCCCTTCTGCTGTCATTCTAAAGGAGGGCCTCGGCAGGACCCCGAAGTACAAGGCCGGCCTGGACCCCAAAGAGCACGACCCTCCTCAGGGGCCCCATCAAGGTAGGCTACTTCGTGACCTAGGTGAGGAAGAAGGAGAGCCCCATGGGGAGCCCGATCAAGTGCAGCACGGACCAGCACTACACGGTTCTCAAGGGCGGGGTCAGCACCAGCACACGCACGAGGAGGTGGGCGAGAAGGTGGTAGAGGAGGAGGAGCGCGGGCACGATGAGGGCCTCGGAGTGTCCTCGCTGGAGGACGTCTTGGGTGCTCATGGTCCGCTTCGCTCTGAGCCGCTGATTGGCCCAAGACCTCTACGTATTCTTCCATATGTTGTCGGCTCTCTGCCTCGTCGCCCTCGTCAGCGCTCTTCCTGCCATGTCCGCGGGGCTGCTGCAGGGGGACGCTCGCAAGCGACCAGCTGCGGCCGCGAGCTTGCCGCCGGCGGGAGCTCCCTGGTCCGCGGGGCGCGCAAGGCTGGCTCGCCGTCGCCGACGCTGCCAGTGCTCCAGGCATCGCCCGCGAGCCGCCAGGGCTCGAGCGGTGGTCCCACGCCGCAGCAGCGGGCTCGGCTGATTCAGCCGCCAGCGGGCATGCCAGTGCTCAACACAGCTTCCGTGCGCACGGCGTCGGGGCGTCAGGCTTATCTCTCGATGCCGGTGGGTTTCGACAACTGGACGAGACAGCATCGACGGGCCACGCAGGAGCCTGCTCAGATGGACAGAGCGATCCGCGACTACATCAGCCACCTCTTCGAGCTGGGGTATCACCAGACCTACGCCAACCGTATGATAGCGGCGGTGGCGTGGCGCGATCCGCGCTATGCCAGAACGGGCCAATTCGAGCTGCCGCTGTCCAAGCAAGCCGCCAAGGGGCGGCGCAACCTGGCCCCAGCTCGCAGCCGTATGGCCCTTTCGTACGAGGTCGTCGCCATGGTGGTCAACTACTACGTGCTCCATCGGCGCGGCACCCCGGAGGCGCTCGCGATCTGGCTCCTCTTCGAGATCTACGGCCGCCCGGGCGAGATCCACGGGCTTCGCCTGCAGGACGCGGTGCCGCCGGCGCCTTCCGCGTCAGGGGCTCACCGCTACACCTCGGTGACGCTCCACGCGCAGGAGGTCGGCGACGTCTCGAAGACGGTGGAGTTCGACGCGGCGATCCGTCTCGACCTCGAGCGCCAGGCAGGCCTGGCTGCGGCACTGCTGGCGATGGCCGCCGCGCGGCGCCGCGCGGGGGCGCCGCCCCGGGCGCCGCTGTTTGCAGTCGACCAGCGCAGCGTGGCCAACGCATGGCGTGGGGCTGTCACCGCCCTCGGCCTCCGGAAGCTGGGTGCCTGCCACGTCTACCAGCTCCGCCACTCAGGCCCAAGCCACGACTACGCAGCGGGACTGCGCGACCTCGAGCAGATCAGGCAGCGTGGGCGCTGGAAGAGCTGGAGCTCAGTCCGCAGGTACGAAAAAGGAGGCCGCCTGACCTAGCAGCTGCACAAATTAGGAGGGCCGCAGCGAGAGCACGCGGAGGCCTGCGCGCGCTTGCTGAGCCGTGCTTCGCACGGCCTGCCCTCAGCGTTGGTGCCAGTCTGCCCGACCCGCCAGTGATCTTAGAGTTGTTCTCTGGCTCAGCAGGTTTCTCGAAGGCAGTCGCTCAGCTGGGCATGCCGGTTCTGATGTGGGACACTACTTTGGGCGAGAGATACGTTCTCGCCCGACCGTGCAATCGCTCGCTTCTTTTGTCTTGGATCCGTGCGGGTCGAATCAGGGGTTGGCATGCGGGTGCACCCTGCAACGCGCTGACCAGGTGCCGCGATCATGGGGTCGGGGCGCCGCCTGTACGATTCGATCTTCACCTCTTTGGCCTCCCGAACCTCCCTCCTCACTTGCAAGCGATTGTCGATGTATCCAACATCCTCAACAGGTTTGTTGCCAATCTCGCAGGTGTTTCACTTTCGTTACGTGTGTCCTGGAGTATCGAGAACCCTAAGACTTCTCGGCTGTGGCTTTTCCCACGCTACAAAGCCCTAGTGCGGTGCCGCGCTGTCTCTTTCCATGTCACCTCGATGTGCCAGTGGGGTGCGGCTTGGAAAAAGGATGCTGGCCTTCTCCTCGGGGACCTTGACCCGGGGCCGTTCCGTGAGTCGCGGTGCATAGGTTCCAGGCGTGGCATTTGCTCTCGTACGGGTCGGGCTCACGAACAGCTGCAAGGTTTTTGCCCTCAGGAGGTTTCAAGACCAAGAGAGGGGCGGAGTACCCTCGAACATTTTGCGTCGCCCTCGCTCGTCTCTTTCATAATGCCGAGGTCAGAGCTTCCGCAGAGGTCATGCAGCGATCGTGTGGTTTGTGAGTCTCTTTTCTTCGGCGATGCCAGCTTGCTCTGCAAACTCGGGAGCATGTTTGGTGTTTTGTTCTGGGGTTGAGCTCTCACCCCAGGACTTGAGCTTGCCTGTGCCTCGCTCGGCGGTCTCGACGGCTGGATTCCGCCCGTGCTCAGTCTCTTGCAGTTGCTGGCAGAAACAAGAGCCCAAAGGATTGTCGTGATCTCACGGGTTTCCGATGTATCTTGTGGGCCGCCGCCGTTCTGGTTGCTCAAGTCTTCCGCCTCCTCCTCTCCTCCACCGCTTTCTTTTCACTCAGGTGTTTTGTTCTGGGGTTGAGCTCTCACCCCAGGACTTGAGCTTGCCTGTGCCTCGCTCGGCGGTCTCGACGGCTGGATTCCGCCCGTGCTCAGTCTCTTGCAGTTGCTGGCAGAAACAAGAGCCCAAAGGAACAACTTCTCGTCTGGGAGGGTTGAGACCCCCTCCCTTTTATTACGAAATCTGGAGTACGCCTGCGGCCCATCCCTCCCCATCCTTCCCCATCGGCCCACGCTTGCAGCCTTGCCCCTTCGGCCGCCCCTTGGCCGCTGCCGCGGGCCACGCCCCGCCCGCCGGGTGTCGGCGTGGCCTCTCGAGGTCACTGCATGCTGGCCGCGCGAGCCTTCTAAGACGGGTGGGCTGCACCTCCGCCCCACCGGGCCACCCCCAAAGGCGGGGCTGGCCCTTAGTGAGCCCCGGAAACGGCAGGGCCGTTTTTTCACCGTTTCCAAAAATATTTCCGTTAAACATGGAAGCGGCAAAAAAAACGGCGACCGGAAACGGCAAAAAAAACGATTCCTAGGATTGGAACTGGAGCCGGAACCGGTCAAAAAACGGCGACGGAACCTGTCAAAAAACGGCGTCGGAACCGGCAAAAAAACGGCAGAACGGAACCGGTCAAAAAACGGTCTTGCCGTTTCCAGGGCCCACTTAAGGGCTGGCCCCGCGGATCCCGAAGGGAGCGTCACACCTCCCCAGCTGCAGGTGGGCGGGGCGGCCGGTGGGGCCAGGGTCGCGCCAGTGGCCTGGCATCGCTCGGGCGTGTGCACTGTCGTGTCCTTAGCTGCCCTGTTACGCTCGTCTCGAAACGCAGCACGTACCGTGCTCAAACCGTCCATGTTAACACGCTGCGTGTTGGCTCGGCGAGTGTTGGCCCACGTTTTGGCGAAACTATCGCGCCATGGATCGGCTGTAAACGATGCTCGCAGAGCATCGGCCACGTGCAGAGGGAAGGCTTCCTAGAAGAACCCCTGCTTCATTGGAAGGCGCGTGGCCTTGTCTGCAGATGTAAGGCCCGCGCCTTCTAAGAAGCAGCCTCCTACCTTCTAAGAAGCCTTCCCCGCGCTCCCATGCCTCCCTTGTGCGCGCCACCACAAGAAGCCGAGGCTCTCAGTTCTGCACCAACGTCCATGAAAGGACGACCTTCTGCCCAGACCTCCCGAACCCTCCAAGACAGCTCAAATCAGACGCCCCCCAAACCCAGACCCCCGACGCCGTGATTCTTCCACCCCCAGAAGTCTGGACCCCTTCCCTGGGACCAGTTCTTCATCCTGAGTCATCTTTTGACGGTCCCGAGGCCAGGCGAGGGCCTCCAGAGGCCGAAAATAATGCACAGCTTCCCGTCGTGATTTTGTTCGCATCCCGAGGGGGTCTGGGAATGTGACCCCCCCGCACTGATCATGGAAGCCGGGAACTCGCCCCTCCCCCTACCCCCATTCCCCTGCGCGCCGCCAAGACTACTTGGCACCGCTCGGACGTGCGCCTCTTTGCTTTGCGACGACCATCGAGGAGCATCCTGTGAATCATCTCGCGAAACATACACGCGCGAAATCGAGGAATGCACGGGGATTGGACGTCCCAGCGATGGCGAGACCAGGGGACCCCGGCGCCGAAGCCCCCGGGGCCAGGTGGACGAGCGGCAGCACCGGGCAGAGGAGCGCACGCAGCTCCTGGAGGCGAAGCAGGCGCAGTGCGCCCTGCAGCTGGAGGAGCTCCGCCTCAAGGCGCGCGGCACTGCCACTGCCGGCGGGCCTCCTCGCGGGCATCTCGGAGGCCTCTTGGAGGCCCCGAGGCCTTCCGAGGGGCGTCCGGAGTCTTCCGAAGGCGCGCGGCACTGCCGCTGCCGGCGGGCCTCCTCGCGGGCTCCTCGGAGGCCTCTCGGAGGCACTGAGGCCCTCCGAGGGGCGTCCGGAGTCCTCTGGAGGCCTTCCCGGAGGCCTTCCGAGACTCGGAGAGGGAGGCGGAGGAGGGGGAGGGGGAGGTGGAGGACGCACGTGAGCGCAACACGCCACGGCGAAGTTACGAGAATCCCTTCCTCCAAGTTCCCTCTTCACGGTTCCCTACCAGAGGTTCTGTTCATTGCGGGCAGTGCCCCATTGGACGACGACCGTCTCAGAATCCCAATCTTCCCAATCACCTTTCCCATGACTTCAGCGCCGCGAATCAACGTTATTGGTGCGTCCTGACACCCTTGAATCGTACCAGAACGCCATATTTGGGAATTCACACGGCGAATGAACGTAACGGTTGCGCCCTGACGATCCCAGTCGTGTCAGACAACCATTCGTCATTCGTGGGAGTTAAACCGCTGCGAAGTGTTCGAAAACGTTCGAGACGGATGGGCACGACGCGCAGGCGAGAGCCACCTGTGACAATCGGATGCAGACTCTCGAAACGAATCTGCGCGGCGCTGTGGCGAGAGCAATATGGAGGAGGAGGTGGAGGCGGAGGAGGAATAGTACCAACCAGTGCAAACCCAAGACTCATCAACGAAATTGCAATCAACCCTTTCTTCAAGTTCCCTCTTCTCAGGTCCCCACAAAGATTTACGTTCAATGAAGACAGTGCCCCATTTGAAGACGACGGCTTGAAAGTCCGAAACCGTGCCAGAACACCAGTCTTGGGACTTCAACGCCAAGAATCAACCTTGCTGATGCGCCCTGACGGTCCTGAATCGCGACAGGGTCCCTGGGAGTTCAACACCGCGAGTCAACATGATTGCTGCGCCCTGTCAGTCCTACGTCGTGCCGAAATGCCGTTTCTGGAACGTCAATCATACGACATTGTGATCTTCTTGTGCGTTCTAGGGGGCGAGTGTGCGCGGCGCTCAGGCCAGAGTTGCATTCGGCAAAGGAGCCGCCCTCCATCCGCGAGGCTGCTGCAGCAAACTCGTAAGACGAATGTGCGCGGCGCGCAGACGAGAGCCACAGTCTGGAAAACACGGATCGCCCTCCTCGCGCGAAGGTCCTGCCAGCTTTTAACACAAGCGTGCGCGGCGCTCAGACGAGGGCGCGAGAGCCACAGCTCGGAGCGAAGCTGCCCTCATCCCGCGCAAGTGTGGCGAGCTGGAAGACACACGGGCGCGGCGTTCAGAAAAAAGAGCCACATGTTGCAACGGGCCCGCCCTCCATCCGTGGAAGTGCTGCAAACGCTCAAGACGGGTGCGCACAGCGCCCAGGCGAGAGCCACACTCCACGAAGGACCCGCCCTCCGTCCGCGAGACGACGGCACACCTCCAAGGCACGTGCGCGCGGCGCCCAGGCGCGAACCGCGCTTCGAGGGAAGGACCCGCCCTCCATCCGTGAGGCCGCTGCAGAAAGAATGCTAAGACGAGTGTGCGCGGCGCCCGGGCGAGAGCCACGTGCTGAAGAGGACCCGCCCTCCACCCGTAAAGCCGCTGCAGATGTCAAGTTTCCGGACACAGAGGCGGTAGGCGCATCTCATGTTGGGAGCGACAGGCCCGCCGGTTACCGAACCTCTCGGGGCGCGACGGAGGAGAGTTCTGCTCATGCGGACAAAGGATCGGAGGAGGAGTAGGGAGAGCCGGGAGGCCCCTGAGAGTGAGGAGGAGGAGGGGGAGGAGAAAAGGAGGAGGAGGAGGAGGAGAAAAGGAGGAGGAGGAGGAGGAGCAGGAAGAGTTGAAGGAGGATGAGGAGACGGGGTAGTCCGAGGGTTGGTCGGCAGGCCGGATGGTCGTGGGAAGGGGGGTTGGTCGGCAGGCCGGATGCGGCATTACGGCAGCCTGTGTGTTGATCGTGTTGAGGAGTGTGGATGAGAGAGGAGGGTGTCAGGAAGGGAGGCGCCAGTCGAGACCGAGTCGCCAACCCTTGGGGCTTGAAGCAAAGGCGGAGACAAAAACAGATGTTTGAAGACGAGAAGGAGGAGGAGGAGGAGGAGGAGAAAAGGAGGAGGAGGAGGAGAATCAGGAAGATCACGAGGAGGAGGATGAGGAGGAGGCTGAGGAGAAGGGAGAGAAGCAGGAGGAGGAGGAAGAGGAGAAGGAGTAGGAGGAGGAGGAGGAACACGAGGAGTGTGAGGAGGAGTATGAGGAGAAGGAGAAGAGGAGGAGGAGGAGGAGGAGGAGGAGGAGGAGGAGGAGGAGGAGGAGGAGGAGGGAGGAGGAGGAGGAGACGCGGAGCAGGAGGTGCAGCAGACAGGCCCACCCCGAGCATCGTCGGTAAATGACCGCGCTGAGTTCTGCGCTTTGCCTCTGCATTCCGCGCCGCACCGCGGCTGCCGCCACGCTCCTGTTTGTCCCGCGCAGCCCGAGCCAGCTCCGGCAGGTGGCCAGGCGGCCATCGGCAAGGGCGTAGTGCAGAGTTTCATGCCGATCTACGCGTGGGGCGGAGGAGGAGGAGGAGGAGGAGGAGGAGGAGGAGGGAGGAGGAGGAGGAGGAGGGGGAGGGGGATAAGGAGGGAGGAGAGGAGGAGGAAGGAGGAGAAGGAGGAGGAGGAGGAGGAGGAGGAGAGGAGAGAGGAGGAGGAGGGAGAGGAGGGAGGAGGAGGAGGAGGAGGAGGAGGAGGGGGCTGCGTGAGAGGATGGTGAGGGGTACGTTCTAAAACGTGACCTGCAGTGCTGAGGCATGTGCGGCACGGAGCCGCCTCAATGGTGAGGTCGGACCTGTTTGGGCAGACCTTTGCAAACCCGATTGGGCGATCCGATTTTGCTTCGTCGTTGGCTGGTTGTGCTTCTCAGCTCGGCCTTGAGCGTGCTGAGCATGATGTAGCAATTACACATTAAGCACGGTGTGACAAAAGAGCCATCCGAAACTATGCGGGACTGCGTCATGTTTCGGAGACCGAAGTACGGTGAGGACAAGGAGAAGGATGGGGAGGAGGAAGGGACGGGTGAGAAAGGGCGGAGGGAAAGAGGGAGGAGGAAGCGGGAGCGCGAAGGTAGGGAGAGGAGGAGGGAGGGGAAAATGAGGAGGAGGAGGAGGAGGAGGAGAAGGAGGAGAGGGAGGACGTGGAGGAGGATGAGGAGGAGCAAGAGGAGGAGGAGGGAAGGAGTAAGGGACGGGGGAGAAAGGGCGTAGTGCAAGAGGGAGGAGGGAGCGGGAGCGTGAAGTTAGGGAGAGGAGGAGGAGGATAAGGAGGAGGAGGAGGAGGAGGAGGGGGAGGAGGAGCAGGAGGAGGAGGAGAATGACAAGGAGGAGGAGGAGGAGGAGGAGGAGGAAGAGGAGGAGGAGAAGGAGGAGGAGGAGGAGAGGGGAGAGGAGGAGGAGGACGAGGAGGAGGAGGAGGACGAGGAGGAGGAGGAGTGCTCCCGCAGGCCCACTGGGAGCACGAGGACTGGCCATGTTTCTGGCACTGGGGACTTGTCCCAGTGATGTGGATTGACCCGCACGTGGACACATGGCCAGAGCGGGATTTCCTGGCGGAAGAGGAGGTCTCGAGGAAGGAGTTCGCCTAGAGCTACCCCGAGGGGCTAATGTAGGAGCTGATGAGATTAGCGGTGATCATTCGAGTGATGTGAGGCTTCGTAGATGCGGATGTGGTTTTGCAATTTGGTTTAATGGTGGTGTACAGGGGACTGCCTGTGGACCGATCCTTGGAAGGCGCCAGGCGGTGCCCCTCGCGGAACTCAAAGGCCTGACCCAGGCCTTGAGTCAGACCTCGGGGCCTGGAGTTTTGTGGTTGATTGTGCTTACGTCTTGAAAACGATCCAGGATGGCCCAGGTGATGTTCCTCCCCTGCACGCTGCAGCCTGGGCCCGTTTCTGGCACGAGTCTCACCAGAGGTATGGACAGGCCATTTTTCGTAAGATCAAGAGTCACCTCACCGAGGCTGATATCGGCCATCAAGCGGGGTAAGCAGAGTTCAGAGTGAATGAAGCGCCCGACCTCGCGGCCAAGCGCGGAGCAGCATTAGCCAGTCTCCCCCAGGATGTGTTGGCCGAGGTTGCTCGGGTCGACGATTTGGCCTCCCGCGTTCTGGAACACCTGGTTGTTGCCGCTTATGTGCCAGGGGCTTTAGCCCCTGAAGTTTTAGTGGCAGCAAAGCGGGCCCGAATGTTCGTGAAGTTACAGCCCATCAGGTTTCAATACGTGTAAATGGGGTTTCGTTCTGCCAGCGGTGCCTTACGGCACCCACCAGAGTACTTCCGTTGAATTCATGGTTGAGCTCTCCCTGTGTGGGTTTCCCCACCAGACCCACGGGTCCCACAAGATTCGGTGCCTGCGCGGGCTCTGGTGGTGCCAGGTGTGTGGCTTTTCGGGGCACTTGCGCTTCAATAGTTTGGGGAAGGCCTGCCATCGTCCGATGGACGCTGGCAAAAAGGCGATAGCCAGGCTATCTAAGGGGCTCCTCCCTCCCAACAGGAAGCATTAGCCAGATGAGCTATGATCAGGAGCCCCAGGACCAGACGAGTCCTGAATTTTTCACAGAAAGGCCCCTGGTCGCAATGAACCAGACTCTAGCCCAGCGCAAGCTGTTCCCACGAAGAAAAGCAGGAGAAGGAGGAGTGGGGAGGAAGAGGAAGATGAGGATGTTGTTGTTGTTGATGATGATGATGATGCTGATGCTGCTGATGATGATGATGCTGATGCTGATGATGATGTTGATGATGATGATGGTGATGATGATGATGATGATGATGATGCTGATGAGGATGAGGATGAGGATGAGGATGAGGATGATGATGATGAGGATGAGAATGAGGATGATGATGATGATGATGAGGAGGAGGAGGAGGAGGAAAGGAGGAGGGTGAGGAGGAGGAGGATGACCTCATAGTGCGCACGCCGGCGATGCCGAATTGGCGGGGGATGGCCTGCGCCGTCTGCGGAGGCGGACAAGGCGGTGTCTGCGCTCGAGCGGGCGAGGCTGCTCCAGGACAGGACCGGTGGTAGCGGCGGGGGAGGAGGATGTGCGTGCCCATGTTGCTACCCTGGCTTCGTTTGCGCCTTTTTGAGGCCGCCTGGGAGGTCCTCGTCGCCACCGCTGGAGTCGCCTCGACGTCCTGGTCAGAACGCGCCCCGGGAGAGGCCCGGGGAGTAGAGGTATCGGTACCTTCGGGTTCCCCCAGCAGGACGGAAGTTCAACAGTCAGGAAGGTTGTTCTGTTTACCTTTTCCCCGCCATCCCTTGATGTTGGGTCAGCAATCGCTTCTGAATCAGCAATGCTCCGGCGTCCTCCTCGCTCCTCTTCCCCCTCCCCCCTCCTACCATCCTTGCATCTGTCCTCCACCCATCTCGGCACACCCACATCAATCGCGTCGTGGCCCCATAGGGAGCTTCACCGAAGGCCCCAGTGGGTGTGTCCACATGCGTCCCGCCGCCCATGTTAGCACACCCCTCACGCGTTGCGTGGCCCCCACACGGAGCTCCACCGAAGGCCCCAGCGGCTGCGTCTACATGCATCCTTGCCGCACATTTCGGCACCCCCCATCACGCGCTTCGTGGCCCCATAGGGCGTTGCAACGAAGGCCTCAGCGGCTGCGTCCGCATGCGCCCCCGCCACCTGTGTCGGCCCACACCTCGCAGGTTTTGTCGCCCCCATAAGGAGCTCCACCGAAGGCCATAGTGGCTGCGTCCACATGTGTCCCCGCCGCCCATATCGGCACACGGGCTGTGACGAGGAGGCGACGGGGCGGCGACGGCGGCAATATAGCTTCCAGAGCGGCAGACACTCCCAGACGAGGGGCGGCGACGAGGCGGCGACGGGGCGGTGGCGGCGGCAACACAGCCTCCAGAGCGGCAGACAGGCCCAGATCCTTAGAGCAGAAGAAAGAACCCCTAAGTGTAAACACTGAGTGGGGGAAGCGCCATCACCTGAACATCATCGGAGCACCGTCGGTACACGATCTGGACCTTCGAAAAACCATCGGGGCACCATCGGACACCATCGGGACACCATCGGAACACCCCCAAGCCACCGCCAGCCAACAGGCGGGGCCACCTTCAGCCAACCAGGGAGCTGCATCGTTGGGCTTGGCTTCGCCTTATCAACAGCGAGTTCCTTCCGCTCGTCCGCCCACGCAGCTTCGGCTCTCCCGCCCGCGCGCACGACACAACATCGAAACCGCTTTCCAGGTGCGGGGTCTCCGTGCCGCCTCGGTGTCAACCTCCATCTCCCGATATCATGACAAACACACGGTGCCAGACCAGCGCGTAGGAGATGGCACCATGACCGACCACATTGCAGCAACCATACATTGCCAAGAGACAGCAGATAGCAGCATCGCAGCTCGTGGCATAAGATCTGATGACATGGCACACCATACAATTGCTTGCCATCGCCGATCATTTCACAGCGCAGCACCATTTATCATACGGTATCCTACTACGACAGAGAGTGTCGTAGCAGAGTGCGCCACACAAACACATGAACATCAGAGTATATGTAGATTACACATATATATATATAAGTAGACCAACCACGGTGGCAACGCATATATATATATATATATATATATATATATATATATATATATATAACAAACAGCAGTGTTACACACTCGATGGGCAAACTGTCAGCATAACAGAAACAGTTGCTGAACCGAGCGTGGCAAAACACAACATAGCAGGCAATACCAGAACATGACATAGACCAAACTAGCAGTGCATATAATAACAAATCCGGGCATTGTGGCGGAGCGGAGTATACTCGAGTACACCAAGACCTACCAGAAGAAAGTCTTGCCACCACAGCGGCGATGAATATATTTGTCAATCAAGGATCTGACACACTCTGATGGGCATTTTTCTTGACATCACAGAACATAGCTCACTATACTGGTCACTGTGCAAACATATCACGCCGTAGCAAAGGATATCATGCTCCGACATATAGAACATGACCTAGCCGAGCGTTGGGGAACACAGCATAACGACGCATATCACGCCTCGACATAGCCCATGGTATCACGACAGAGCGGTGCTGAACATATAGGTCCATGACAGAACCCCACGTACATTAACCCGATTGTGTGAATTGCACCACCACCGCGGCAACGGTTACCCGATATCATAATGAAAGAACTGCGTATCAAACAGCATAACGAAACATAAACACGCACGTACACTAAGCTTACATACTCGTTCTAACAGACGCGAAGCTAGAAACAGGGCTGACGCTAACACACCACCGCAAACGATAACGCCAAACTAACCACACGTCAGAGTACATACATGTCGTACACGTTGTACAGATGTTTGATCTCTCGCATTTTAACCGAAGCCTATGTGTACAAAGTGTTCAGAGTTAATCGGCCTGAACACATGTGAACACATCATGACACACCATTGCATATAGCAGCACATAGCATCGCATATCATACTTTCGGGTTGTAGGTGATGGCGGGGACTTGACCGCCACACGACATTGCAGGACCGAGCGCACTAGCACATCTTCTTAGAAGAAGCCAGTCAAGCTAATGTAGAATAGTCGACTTGGTTACTTCACAATCGAACGTGGGCGAATATAGCAGGACAACAACGTATCAGCGACCGACATTTGCATCTTATCCAACGCGGCGTGCGCGCAGAGGTCATGCTGGGCACTTGAAAAACAGCCGCAACAAGGACCCATTTCACGACGTATCAGACGTGACAGGCGCCACGACGTAAGGCTGACCCGTCGACTTGTTCGGTAGAGAAGAGTATGCATTCTACACGCGCCATAGTTGAAAACTGTATTGTAGACTAGAGCAGCGAAGCATGAATCGCGCCCTACTACATGCAGCGTGCGAGCCGATGTGAGACTGGTCAGAGGAAAAAACAAACATGAACAGAACAGGACAGGACCGAACATAACGTGACAGAGTAGAGTGCAGCAGCAACCACGAAGGCCGAATATGTCGGTGGGTATCGCCGGAAGTTGAATAACGCTTGGTGTTGAAGATGTGGTTGCTGCAGGCTCCACGCACTTCAGGCTTAGAAGTTCAATTTTGCAGAACAGCTCCGCAAATTAGGGCCCGCTCCTTTTGAACATGGGGCTCTCGCGGGTGACCCTAATATGTCGTATGGCCAGAAGCATAGATATGTACAACAGATGCACGGATGGATAGAGGTTCTTTTACCAAGCTGCGCTCTGTTTGCACACTTCAGTCGTCCAGTGGCGATTGGCTTGGTCGTGATTGCGGCGGACTGCGTTGTCGATGCGCACCCGTGCCTCGGTGCAAGGTTTCTCATCGTGCGCTTGTTCACAACGAGATGAGATGCGGCTTCCATGCCAGCGCGCGACCGGAGGCGGCGGCGGCGAACGGTGATTTGGACGTTGGTTGTTGTTCGGGCCGTGGGGCCTCTGGAGGCCCGGGACCGCAAAAGGCCACGGGTGCAGTCGGGCAGTTGCGGAGGCTGCGCCACTGGGCTACGAAGTGACCCCGACGGACTGGATCACGGAGCGAGGCAGCGTTTGCGCCGCTCTCGTGCCTCAGCCCGGTGGCGGCGAATGCGCCCAGAGGAGGGCGCGGAGGAGGAGCAGGAGGAGGAAAAGGAGGAGGGAGGAGGACGCTTTGGAGACGAGGAGGAGACGAGGAAAAGGAGGAGGAGGAGGAGAGTAGAAGGAGGAGGAGGAGGAGGAGGAGGAGGAGGAGGAGGAGGAGGAGGGGAGGAGGAGGAGGAGGAGGAGGAGGAGGAGGAGGAGGAGGAGGACGCGCGATGCTGCTGCAGGCCGTTCCAGGCTCCTGCGACCAGCGCAGCATGGCGCACCCTGCGGGACGCGCGGCGCGGGCGGCGCCATGCCCGACGCGGGCGGCGGGCGCCGCTCGTCCCTCGCCGCGGGGCGGCAGGGGCCGGCCGCCGCTGGCTGGGCGGCGCGCGGCCCGGCCGTGCAGGCTGGCTGGATGTTCCCCAAGCAGTGCTTGTTCTGCAGGGGTCCAATAGCGGAAATGTCTCCCGCCGATTTAAAATCGGCGGGACATTTCCGCTAGCCGCGGCCATGGTATCATATGTCATGTCAAGGTTTGTTCTAGCGGGCTGGTCTGAGCGGAAGTCCTGCGGCCGTGCCTGGCGACCCTGGGGGCACCTCGGCCCAGGGGCACCTCGGCCCAGGGGCACCTTTAGCAACACCCGAATTTGGGTTCCCGGGTTCCCAGTTCCAGGTTCCCGGGTTCCTGGTCATTGGTTCTGGGCCGAGTTCAGTGGGTTCGGGGTTCACGGGATCCCGGTCGATCTTTTTATCGATTTGTTTTATCGATCCCACGATTCATTATCGATCGCATGATCGATCTCACTAATCATCGCACTCAATCAATCTCACCATCGATTTCATCAGACCATCCACTGATTGGGGTTTTTCTTTGGTGTAATCTGTTTGATACCACCACAAACTACCATGGGCAGGACGGGGGCGAAGGGAGGATGGGGAAGTCCTCCTACTCCTCCTTCTCCGTCATCTCCTCCTCCTCCTCCTTCTCCTCCTCCTCCTCCTTCACCTACCTGTCATAGCGGCGGTGGAAAATGGGCCCATTATTTTGCTTCAGTGAGAAAGCCGAGATTGTCTTCGCGGCGAGGAAAGCATTTTCTCGCGACGGGAAGAAGTGCTTCGTGTCGCGGGGGACGTCACGGCAGTTCTGCGTGTTGGCGACCTTCGGGTATCGGCAGGGGCCCTCGCGAGCGGCGCGTGGCGTGGCCTCGCGGGCCCGGCAGCCGTAGCGGGACGGGCCTGATGTGTATATCAGCCTGGACGTGCGACGTCTTGGCAAGCATAGACTCGAGTATGAGATCGTCGACGTAATTGATTTACCCCAGACTTGTGGTATTCGTCGAGTCTCAGAACCAGGATGTATAATGCTTGTATACTTACGAACCGTTTATGCATGTTCTGCAGATCGCCAGAGAGGAATGAACCACCATCACCAGCTAGGGAGGCTGGCCGCTCCCCCTCCCCGA